ACTCACAGAAAGAGGTACTAGAGGAGATCTTCTCTGCAGGGATGCAGGGGAGGAGGAAAAAAACGTGGGGGAATCCCTCACTTTAAATGGCACTAGGGAAAAATTTAAAATGCCACACGAATAAGGATGTAACAGTGGGAGCTGTGAATTTGTTTAACAATGCAATGTCACATTTCAATGAACTCCTCAAAAAGAATTAGAAGAGTTAAAAGAGGGCATCCTTGGATAACTTCCTAGTTAAAGTTGCACAAAAAAGAAAAATAAAATCCATTGATGCAATGGAGAGCAGTGATTCTGACAATAATAGTGAAAATTGCCCTACACAGTAAGCCTCCTCTTTTATTTCCCTGACAAGAGCATGAAGGTTTTCACAATTAAGTTCAGGTTAATCTCTTCTACTTTACATTCTGAATTGTCTTCATTATTTTCTTCTATATTACAGTGTGATAGTATTTTTATATGAATATTTTAGTGTCTTAGAATGAATTAGTCAAGTTTCCATTATTTTTATGGGAAATTTTTCTTTGGATTATAAGCATGGTTCAGGAAAAACTATGCTGTCAATCCAAGATTTTGCTGCATAAAGCACAATATAATTTCACTTGTAACTGACATCTTATAGATGAAATTTATCAAATATATGTAATTCACATATAAGGGCAAGAAGACAGTGACCTACATATTTTACATTTTCAATGCCAATTCTCACATGGTTCTTGTTTTAAAATATTTTACATAAAACATACAAAAAAATCACATTTCCATTGCACTCATGGATAAGTACTACACTTACCAGAAAGTGATAATCATACATTTAAGTCTAATTGTTGAAAAGAAAACTGAGATCATTCCAAATTATCCATCAAGATCCATGCATTCATTTTTAAAAAGTAGATTAAACACCATACTTAAAGGGTTTTAAAAGTCCACTTTTATATGTAATTCTATTTGCTTAATGTATGCATATTTTGAATATCTGTATTCACTCATTATTTTATTAAAACCAACAACATTAAAGAATGTTCAGGACTATGGCTTTTCCTCCAAATTTTTTTTTTCTTCTAATTTCAAGTATTGTCTTTTAAAAAACAATTTTCTAGCTTGGCATGGTTGTACACACCTGTAATCCCAGAACTTGGGAAGTTAAAGGAAGAGAATTTGCTGCAAGTTCAAGGCCGGCTTGAACTTCATAGCCAAAATCTTTTCTCAAAAATACAAAAAACCAGAAATACTCTAGGTCAAAATCTATTTGGTATAGTGCATTGATCATTCATTTCTCATTCAGTTTAGCAATATCATTTAAACTATGTATCAATAATCTTTAAAAGGACAAAAATAGATATATTATAGAGACCTATTTAAATTTCATTCTATAATTCATACTTAATTTACGTACAGCATGATTGTACTTACTATGTGTTAATATTGAAATATTTTCTGTTAATTTCTGTTTATGTAATAGTAACTGAGTTATGAGAGAAAAATGATAAAATTATTATTTTTAGAGAAGGTTAAACAAAAGATAGTTTGAAAAAGTTTAGCAATTATTATTATGCAGCATATTTGAGTTTAAATCATATGTTGGTAGAATGCTCTTTTTGATGATAGCTAAATGTGTATATTGAAATGAAATATTTATAAAGTTATTTTAAAATGGCATAAATTACATAAAATAAATCTTTAAAAGTAATATATATTTTCTATAAAAGTCCCTTTAATATTAATTAAAATTAATTAGTGTATGGTTATAATACTTGTCCTTTATTCATTTACTCTGAGACAATTATAAAGATATTAAAAATATCACAAGTGAATTAAATTTTAACTATTAGTTT